GGTTCTTCTATTTTTAGGATCGTTGCCTTCTGCTTTTTTTTTTTTTTTTTTTTTTTTTGTCTAAGCTCTTTTCTCTGGCTCGTTTCTCTGCTATTTTCTCACTCAAAGACGGATTATTGAGGGGTACTGTTTGAGGTTGGGTCTGACTTTTCGAGGGGTACTATTTGAGGTTGGGTCTGACCTTTCGAGGGGTACTGTTTGAGGTTGGGTCTGACTTTTCGGGCCCAAGGATGGACTATCGAGGATGGGTCTGCGTTTCGGGCCTATAATGGTTACGGTTGGGGTCGGGTCTGGTTTTTCGGGGCCCAAGGATGGTTTGGTTCTTGATACGAGGTTTCCTTTGTTTTTTAGTGTTGATTTCTTTTCGGTACTTTCTGAATGTGGTTGGATAGTTAGGCTCTGAATAGCCACTTTTTTGTTGTGTTTTTGAAAATACTTTTCTCTCAAAACGTGAGTTTTGATGTTAGGACCTTCTAGAAGAGTCTGTAGTGGTAGGGTGGGTTGATGAAGGATTACTTAACTCTTGTTGACGCGATACGAATCCTCCTCAATTCGCGACGGTTTTGAACCCTGATGATGACCGGCTGGCAACCGGTCAAAACGCGGCGTAGGGTCGCGCTGTTGGCTTGTTCACACACGCATGTGCTTGCAGGAAACTGACGACGGTCAGCGTACTGTCGGCCATCATTGCACGTAGCCAGCTGACAATGGGTTGTATATCTTGTCATAACTTTTGACCCATTGAGGTCGTGTTCGGGAGAAGTCTCGTGTCATCTTCTTCTTTTCTATACCTCAGAAGTCTCGTGTCGTCTGTTTTTCTGTATCTCCTCTTGGTGTGTTTGCATTCGTCTTCTACTCTCTACAACTATTGCTCTTGGGTATGTTTGCCCTGTTTGTGCGATATTTGCCTTGTATATCTGCATTTTTTGTGAGTAATTCGGTGTTTACATCAATTACCAATCTATAGGTGGCAAGCTGCACCTGCTGGAAACCAGCTGGGGTCAGGTCCCATTAGCAAAGATAATTGGATTAAATTCGTGAATCTGGATGACAATTTTTGTGTTTTTGCCAGAGATGCAGAAAAGCAGCTCAATCGCAATTTTCTGCATCTTTCCACAAACAAGTCCAGATTCAGGAACTCGATCCAATCCTCTGTGCTAATGGGACCACGCCCCAGGTTCAGCGTCAACATGACACTACGGGTTTTCACAGCTGGAATCTATTATGGGGGAGGACAGTCCCGTTTCCTCTTCTTCACAGCTGCAATCTATTATGGGGACGACAGTCCCGTTTCCTCTTTTTTCTCTCTCACCCTTTTCTTTTTTTTCTTCCCCCCCCCTTGGACGTGATACAAGCACTGGCCAGATAGAGCTCTTTTCTACAGGCAAGTCAAACCGGCCCATGATCTGGCACCGGTGTTGATTGGTCTGTGGCACCAGACCCAGCACCTGCTTTCGCTGCAGCAAGCTATTCCTCAACATTGGCAACAATGCCTGAGGTCCGGTCTGCCTTTGCGCTCTGGGGGTTGGTACAAGAGAACAGGAGATCGTGACCCACAACATCTATGGCAAAGACAAGAAACTGGCGAAATGGTTTGTTGGGTCTCATCCTCCTCCGCTCGTTCGCTGGGTTTGGAGATGCAATTGGTGGAAATTCCTGTACCTCCACCACAACAAACGGAGATGCAACCAGTGTGTGTTTTGGAGACCCCTAAGGGCAATCGCCCCTTCTGCTTAGCACAACCATCATACACCTTGCCGGTGGACCCGAGGGACTGGGGATGGATGATAGACCCTCGAAAACAGCAACCTGTCTTCCTTTACCAATATACCACAAAGTTGGGGTACAACCTGATGAGACCACAGATCGACATCAACTGGACTGTGGCAAAAAGATGGATGGCTACTGGATGGATACAAGACATGCTCCCAAGACTTGCTCAGGGCTTCTTAAGGTATTGGAGACTGTTGCTGGAACTCCCAGTGGTCAAACACGCGAGCCAATTTTGGCTCGTGGCTCACCTCGCAGTACCTACAGCTTCATGGTGTGCCCGACGCACAGCCAAAGCCACGCCTTTTTATAGTCTGTGCCCTGGAACGAGGATCGAAGACCTCCAGCACATGCTACTATACTGCGACCTCTCAAGGCCTTTTTGGGAATGGTGGAGATCAGGATCAGTCCCGATACCGGACCCGGTGGAAAGATGGACAGACAACTTCATCATTTTGGGGGCAGCCACACGACGTCACCAAGTCAATGGGCCGCTGATGTTTCCGGAAGAGACCCTTCGAGGGTCAGTGCCATGGACACTCTGGACGCTCAGGAACTCAGCGGTCTACAGGGGAGAAAAACTGACTCCAGCAATGATAAGAGCGGAGGTTAAATTTGTAATAAAACAGACCATTTCAACCGAGTGGTCTCTCAAAGTTAAAAAAAAAGGATACACACCGAAGGCATTGAGAACCTTCCTTCAACATTGGGAAGGGTTCCCTGACCTGCTTAAAGTGCAAGCGCCTCAGGGAGCCCATCCACAGCTTGAGTTTTCCTCCTTTTTTGTTACCTGAAAAATGTGCAGCACCTCCTGCTGAAGGCTCTTTTGCCTTTCATAGTTTTGGAGATTTGCTGGAAGTGGGTTTTGTCACACCCTTCAGTAGTTAGTCTATAGTTAGTCTATAGTTAGTCCATAGTTTGGTCTGATGGTTTGGTTTGCCAAGTTTTTAGCCTTTCACAGCTAACTCTGTTACAAGGCTTTGTGTTTAGAAGTGCTCTGAGTATTCTGGTATTTCCTTTTTCTTGGTTCAGTTAGGAATACTCAGCTGTCTCCTTGCTTTTCTCTTTTTCATTGGGACTCAGCGACTCCCGATATGGGCTTGGCCGGTGATGCCTCGCCAATAATCAGGAGCCGCCTGCACATATATGAGGGACGCCGGGCCCGTTTCCCGGTTTTTATAAAAAGAAAGATATGTTGAATTTAAATAAAATAAAAAAATGCTGTACAAAATATAAGTGCTTTTTTATTTAGTTTTCTTTTCCTTTTTTTCATTTTCTTTGGGGTCATTTTAAAGTTTAAACACAATATCTGGCCGTCTATGAGAGAGAGACAGTCTCCTTCATGTGATGGGTGGTCAGCTGCCCCATATGGATCCAATCTTTTTTTTTTGGTGCTGCACGTGTTGGGAAAACGTACACCGTCCCATCAATATTATACATCAACAGCAAAACGTAGATCTGACAGCATTGGACGACATTATAGGGGTCACACAGTCCCCACCGTCCCCCCTGAATGAACAGCTGTTTTCCGTGTTCCGGGGCCCTTCCGCCATTAAATAGTTTGTTTTCATTATTTTTTTTCCAAATGGACACTTTGTTTTCCGTTTCGAGCAATGAATGAATGAGTGGTAGGCTTTCTATTTCCCGTATTGCCAACGACTAGTGCGTTCCAAGTAATGCACGTGTGGCGTGGCAACATACTGTTTTTGGGCCACGCGGAAGCGGAAGGGTAAATGTGTACGTCGCGGTAACGAGAACCTCAAAATTGTTTTGAGCCTCAGTTTCTGTGTGTCAGTTTCGTATGCCTCTGCAAGTGGCATTCAGGAGGTTGAGGGTTCGAGCCCCACAACAGCCTGACGTAGTACCAACCAGCGGTGATAGTCTGCTTGATACCTCTGATAGGTAGTAGCAGGGCCCTTGGCCAACACGGGTGTGAGTGTGAGTCTGAGTGTGAGTGGGTTGTGTGTGGTGTCTGGTGGGTGTGCGAAAGAGTGTTGGCCATAGACACTGCTGTTATTCGGTTGGGGGTGGGGGATGATGAAAACGGAGGCGCAGCCACTGGCAAAATGCTCGGTCTTTGCATTAGCCGGACCCCCCATCGGTGGCCCCACCCCATCCTTGACCACCATGGTTGGGCCGGGGGACAACATGCATCCCCTCGGATGGCTGGAGGGAGACAACAAAGCCATGTTTGCAGGGGTCCCCTGTATAAGCCTTAAGCACGCGGAAGCGGAAAAGTCCAGGATTGTCATCTCCGTCGCCACGACAGAAACATCCGAACGTGTGCATATGTCAATCACCGAGCCGTCGAGTCGCCTGTTGGGATGAGCGTTGCGGGAATGTCGTTGCAACCGTCCTCATGCACTGACAAAGGTGATGCACACTCATCGCTAACACCACAGGGAGGGGGAGATGAGGATGATGAGAAGGGAGGAGATGAAGAGGGGTTGCACCGTTCTCGCAATCTTGACACCTTGACCGCGAGCATTGATGATGAGGCCGAAGGTGGAAAGGACATGGTCGATACCGCACGTGAAAAACATGATGGGTGAGGCAGGGAATGAACTAGAGGGAAATCATCCGGCGAAGGAATTACAATGTTTCATTTGCTTCTTTGTATACAATCGTATTAATGACTCTTTTTTTTTCATTTAATTTGAAACTGGTTCTCATTCTTAGTGGGAAATATTTCTACATGATTTTACTCATTTATTTTTTTTGTTTTCGGAACGTTACGTTCGACCTAAGTTGTTTATATTACCTGTCTGTTTCGTTGTTCTCAAGAAAATCGTGTTGTCAACGTGAGTGTGTGAAATTATGCATCTTTCTCTCTCTCTCTCTCTCTCTCTCTCTCTCTCTCTCTCTCTCTCTCTCTCTCTCTCTCTCTCTCTCTCTCTCTTTCTCTCTCTCTCTCTCTCTCTCTCTCTCACTTCATCGAGACGTGGATGTGTGTATGCACGTGTATCCCATGGGGTGCCAAAGGGGGCAAGACTCATGATTGATTGATTGCTTACATGAATGTCGCCCATGTAAGTATAAGATTAGAGAAACATTGAAAACATGTTTTCAATATATCAACTCCCATGAGGCACTTACCCATGTACAAAGGATCTCACCATCCTCA